CTCTTAGCCAGTGAGCCTGGGGAGCAATCCATTTTCATGTTTTGTGTTCTGTTTTCTCCCAAAGAAGCCTCCCCTTGAAAGGCAACAGACATAGCACAATTTGCTTTGCAAACAATAACAGGTAGGGTTCAGCAGATGGCTCAATGGGTAAAGTGCTTGCTGCAAAAGCCTGGTGACCTGAGTTCTGATCCTCAGCACCCAGGCAAAAAAGGACAGGCACAGAAGCACAAACCTTCAATCCCAGAAATGCAGGGACAGGAATACCCCTGGTGTTTTCTGGCCAGCCAGCCTAGACATATCAGTAAGCTCTTGGCTCAGTGAGATACTTTGTCTCAAAAATAAGATGGATCTTCTACAGTTTTGTAGAGGACTTGAGTTAAAGTTAGGGTTTAGTTTCCAGCACCCATCTGGTAGCTTCACCATCACCTGTAACTACAGTTCCAGAGATTGAAACCTCTTCTGGTTTCTGCAAACTCCTATACATTACACAGGCAGGCACATACCCGAAAATAATTAAGAGAGAATCTTTTTGTTTTTTTAAAATGACAAGCAATTGAAGAAGACAACACATGTCAATTAGTCTCTAAGTCTCAATGTGTACAAGTATACAAGTACATACACACCTGTACAGGCATGTACACCACACATATACACACTGTAGCAGATGAAATGAGGAAGTAGATGACAACAAGGACACACCCTGGAAGGCAGGAAGACTCATTTTATCCGGAAGCTCCTCTACGAAAGCACTAGGCAACTGCACACAGGTGTGTGCAGCTTTATCCTGAACTGCTGTACAGCAAGCTCCTTGTGTGAGGCACTGATTTGAAACAGGTGAACCATGTACCTGGGTCAAACATGTGAGCCTTCTAATTTTAGAATGACTTCAGCTTCCCATATGGGAAAACTGTAGACAATGGAACGGGGAAGCGTTTTGAGGTTCTGAAAAGCTTTTGTTAAAGGAGGTGAGCAATGAGGAGAGTCCTGGCTGGCTGGCTGGCTGACCCACGTTCTGCCTGCTTTGTAAACAAGAAAAGCCTTCAAAGGCTTTCCCCTCTAATCTGACCTGCCTTGCTGTCCAGCCCAGCCACAACTCTCATTTCAGCAAATTGGAATCTACAGTCCCCAGTGATGCCTGACCTGGCCACTATCTCCCCAAGCAAGTGAGAATAGTGACACACCCTACAAAGAACCCCACAGTGAAGTTTCCGTGTTCATCATTTTTGAATAGTCTCTCAGAGACTGCATTAAACAAAGTCCTCAAACATGCAAGGTCAGGTGGGTGTCCATAGACACTGGTCAAAGGTGAAAGATGAAGAATTGGAGGTGGAGAGAGCCACTTTGAGGAACGTGCAAGCCGCAGGAGTCTGGCTCCCAGGGACCCATAGGGGCCCTCACCACACCTTGGTCATTACAGTGAGTTTCATGAGAAAAGAACCAGATAAGCGGCCTGGGAATGTGCAGCATTGCTGAGGGCGAGGCAAAGGGCTGCCCAACAGCTTCGTGACTTGGTGCATTCTGTCCTTTTAAAAGGGGCATCCAAGAGTGCCTTTTGAATATAGGTTGGAGTTTTTTTCCTAAGGAGGGTGTGGCTGGTGTTCTAAACTGTGGGTGCTGACACCCTCACCTGCATCCAGCTGATGTTTCTCTTTGAGTTTTATAAATAGATACCCAACAATGATTAAAGTTTATGCTCCAAACTTCAGAGCATTGATTTCACTCCTGTGGCAGTCTATGGTCAAAATGGCACACGGAACAGCCAGTGATACCTCCAAGAAAAGTTCACAGACTATGTCGTCACCCATTATGTGGGCTTCTGGAGGGCCAGACAGATATGTCCAATTCTTTGTAGGATTTTAACAACCAGAGGGTTGAGATTTGAAGATACAAGAGCATCCTTGAGATGCAACATCCCAGGAGAATCAAATGCAGCTGTCCCTTTGTATCCAGCAGGGAAGGACCAGTCCAGATTGAAACCCAAAGATGCTCAAGTCCTTACAGGAAACAGTGTAGGTTACACTCATGTTCCCGCGCAAGTGCACACACACACACACACACACACACACACACACACGCATGCAGGCCCAAAAATGACATCAGTGTCTTCCTGGATTGTTCTTCACTGTATTTATTGAGGCAAGATCTCTCAGCTAGTCTAGCTAGCCAGCTTGCCCCAGGAATTGACCATCTTCCCCTCCTAAATGCTGGGATTATATGGAACCACCATGCCTGTCCATTTTATATGTGGGTTCTGGGGATCTGAACTCTGATCTTCACAATTCCACCAAGCCATTTCCCTAGCCCCTTCCTACATATTTTAAATTACCTATGCATTACTATAATATACAAAACAATGTATAAACGTGCCAAAGTCTATACATATTTAGTGTGCTTGCCATTTTTTTCCAGGTAGTTTTGGTCCTTTGACTTCTAAGATGCAGAACCTGTAGATATGGAGGGCCAACTCTTCATAGCGGTCACACCATCATTCCCTGCCTGACTCAGGGCAGACATCAGCAAGTGATCACTGACTGCAATGCTCTCTAAAACCTGAAGGTATCCTCAGAATCTCCCATCAGGACAGCCATGTGGAGATTCTTGGGCCATTGCTTTCTCAGTCCCACAGATGAGGAAACCAATCAAGTAGACACTTGAGGATTAACCTGTTCAGGAACTTGGAAAGTCTGAAACCAAGCCGGCCCCACCAAAAGATCCTGGTCTCCTCCCTGAGGCCCCATGTTCTCCACTGTTCCACCCAAAGTAAATGCCTGAGAAGCCTTTACTGATGCAATCCAGTTTCCCACACCTCTGGCAACCTCCACCCTTCAGTTTTGGGGATCTAAGAGAATGAAACTAAGATTTTGGCAAGAAAGGCCAAGGGTAACTGCCTGCCTGCTCTAATGGCATGTATACTTCCCCCAATCAAAAACAAACAAAAAACAAATTCCATGTTCTTCTGAGCAGGGGTCCCACCCTTGATTGGCACATGGAGCCTGCAATTTTCTCTCCGAAATGTTCTGTAATGCTGGGTCTGCCAGAGGCCCTTGTGGCACCATTGCCACTCAGGGATGTATTGAATCAAATGTAGATACAGTGGCTTCTAGTTCTGATCAACGATGTGGACAGCTGTGCCCATGCACTACTGTCCTGAAATTCCTTGTCCTAACCCTAATGGATGCTTCTGGAATTTAGTATAGGAGCCAATCAATACCCAGGGCATGGGGGAGGGGGAGCTCAGGTACAAATGAATAAAATTTCCAAAACAGAGTTCACATGAAAAAAATTATACTTATCAGGCAATGTAAGAAAACACCAAAATAAGCACAAATTAACACTGAGGGCTGGGAAAATGGCTCAGTCAATAAAATGCATGCTGTCCAAGCATGAGGATCTGAGTTCAAGCCCCAGAATTCATGTTAAAAAGAAGGCAGAGATAGGACCTCCAGGGTCCAATGGCCAACCAGTCTAGCCTAATTGGTGTGCTCCAAAACACTAAGAGATCCTATCTCTAAAATGATGGACTGTGTTTCCAAGGATGATGTCCAAAGCTGTTGTCTGGTCTCCACAGGCACATTTGAGCTGTTCCCACCCCAGGATTTCAGCAAAACCAAAGAGAGCCAGTCTCACATTTATCATTCATCTTACCGAGAATAGCCAGTGTTCAGACAAGTAGCCACCTCCCTTTTCCCCAGAGGGGAAGTGGTTTGGGGCCTTCTGTAAAGTGCAGTGTGCTTCTGTTCTGGCCTGTCAGAGTGAGCTTCCATGGGAGCTAAGTCATTAAAGAGTCCAGGCAGCATGGCAGGGGACAGACTTGATGTGGGGGGGTCTCTGTGAGAAGGGTACATTCTGAACACTTGCTGAGGTTGGGCACATTCCCTCATGAGGAAATTCAGGAGGGAAAGGGGAACTGGGGCTTCAGACAAGGTGGGGCCGGTGATTTTCTGGCTGAAGGATCAGTTCTGCCAAGAGGACCTATAGCACTCCAAGGAGGCTCAGCAGGAGCCATTCCAGGGCCCTGAGCAAATAGACTCAAGCAGGATATCACTAGGCTCTGTCTGTATGGATAGACTTGAAGGGGTAACATAGTCAAGGGTATCCTTCCCACTGATAGTGACATCAGCATTTGCCACCATTCCAACCTGTTTCAATGGAGTGACTCAGTAGCCAGCAGGTCTCCATTCCACCTGGCTGACCCAGCCACAAAGCCTGCATGTTTTGGGTGCACAGTTTGGTTTAGAAGGATGCAAAGCACAGCAGGGCCACACAACCAGCATCTCAGCCTCCCAGAGCTGCCTGAAGGTATGTACTTCCATCAGGTACCAGAGTGAGTAGTGACTCCTGCTTGGCCTCATGCTTAAGTTCCCTCAAGCCCAGGCTGTAAGTGTTGCAATGGTATCTGGTACTTGCCAGATGGCTTAGTGGGTAAGTGCCTGTGACACAAACACGAGTACCTGAGTACATACACACACCTCTGTCCCAACACACCGAAAAGCAGGAATCAAAATCATTAAGACAACCATTATTATGTACAAAGACTAGCTAGAAGCCCATGAAACGGAAGGGTTCCCTGGTACACTGAGATGGTGAGGGCTTTGTCTCCCAACTCTCAGAAGTACTGAGAGAGAAGACTGAAAAGAAGGGGGTGGGTGGGAGGTAGAATAACTAAGCAAAGGTCACTGGGCAGAAATGGACAAGAGTTTTAGAAATCTAATCATTACATGGATGGTAAAGTATGGACAACTTCAAGCTCTGAGGTCCTGCAGGCCCCAATTTACCTGCCACATTGGTTGTCTAAACAGGTGAAGGACTCTTAATGGGACACCCCTGAGGGAAAAATGTATAGTCCTCTTGGGTTATGGTGTAGGCCTTTCAGTACACTCTCTTCTGCCTGCCCAGAAGAGATAAGAGGGTTCAAGGATAGGCAAGTGCCCCTGGAAGGGAGCTCTCCAGATGTGAGGCAGGACCCATACCCCATCCACATCCAGGGAGGATGGACTCACCGCTCAGGGGGGATGTGCTGTTTTCCAGAGCCTGACACACAGCTAACATGAAACCTGTAAGGGAAGCAGAGAAGGTGGATAAGTGTCTCCTCAGAAAAGAACTTCCTTGGAGGTCAAGCAAAGACTTCAGGATTTTATTAAGGGGCCAACAAATATGTCTTTGAGGGTCTCAGGGCAAAATGAAAGCAGGAGCCCCTTGTGCCCAGTGATGTAGTAGGCAGTACCCTGGGAACTAAGGCTCCCATTGACTTTCTTCATGAGACACAGACTCCAAGACAGTACAGTGAGGCCCACATGCATGGCCACATGCATGATCCATAAAGCCACTTCTGACAACAGGTGACCCATATGTGTCCTCAAGTTACAGAGGTGGATGTTTGTGGAAACAGAGCAGAAGGTTCTTGAAAAGAAGGGAGCTCCTGTGAGTTTTGCCATCATCATAAATTAACTTCCGTGACCTGAAAGGCAGAGAGATGCCTCAGGCAGCCCTGCAGAGGAGGCTAGGCCCTAGGAAGACTATTCTAGAAGGCTGAACCCCTCAGCCACTGCAAAAATCAAGGTAGGTCTTATCTGCCCCTCTACCGCAGTGTAGGATCTATGTGACCTTTGAGGTGCAACAGCTGGCTCCTGTTTCTCAGAGGAAATGTCTCCTTCCTATAGTCCACATGTTCACAGGAGTCTCCAGACAAATCTTCCATGCACACACCCAGGAGTCCATTTCTGCCAGAGCCAGAAAAGGTTGGGGGTTGTGCCCTCAGAGCTATGGCATGGTCACATCCTGATGCTGTGGGCACTGCCACAAACCACTCTGGCTGAAGTCAGTCTGAGACCCGTAATCAGTCAAGGCTGACATGGAAATGCCTGGCATACCTCAGGACAGAGAGCATGACCAATCTGTCAGCATATGTCCCCAAATCACTGAGTGATCCTTAAGCCTCCTCCCTGCCTGAACCCTGCCTGTCAGGACAAATAGCATAAACACAGTACTGAGCATTAACCCTGCCAGCCTCTGGAGCAAAGTCAGGGGATCTGGTGTACAGTGGGGCCAGTCCCCTACCTGGCACAAAGCCCCTGCATCCTTCTACTTCTCACCTGTCAGCTGCCAATTGCCAAACTCATGAAGGCATTTCAGGAAGTAATTAATGGCTGCAAAGAACATATGTTCCTCTGAGGAAAGAACACTTTGCTTTTATTTATGATTCTAGAAAGGTGACAATAATAGTTCCCTTCTGTCCCCTCACTTCCCATGATGCCCTGGCTTCACTCTAGCTGCTATGGGCCTGGATCAGGCAGAACAAGGCTCAGACTCTCCTCTTAGGTGCCATGTGCTATGGTTCCACAACCCACACAGGTTTCAGACATTCTCATCTTATTCTTTTCATGACCCTAGAAACAAGTTCCTGCCAGTCTCTCCATCTGTGGGGATGCCCAGGAAACTGAGCCTTAAAGTTTCAGAAATCTGCCCAAGCTCCTATGCTACAATGAAACTTGAGTCTACCCACTTGCAATGTGCAAGACACTGTTGTGTGAGTGTGCCCGCCGGCTGGTCATGGCACACCAGCAGGTATGTTTCCATTGGTATGACCCTTCTGGCTTAATCCAGAGACCTGGCAGGCCCAAAGGTCTTATAGAGGCTACAACTTTACCTCCTGGGATTTTTTTCTCCTTTCCCTCAGTTTCCCCATAAGACAGACCTGAGCTGTCCCACCTGCATATTCTGGGAAGCCAGCACCCACCCTCCATGTGGCCTGATGTCTGAAGGCCTTCTAGGAACATGTGGCTTTGGCAGACATGAGGCTCTGAGAAGCCAAGGGGCCACCACAGAGCCGGCTTGGGCTTAGAAAGACACAGTCTAGCCTCAGGTTCAGCAGCAGGCAGGAGCCATGAGTCCCTCTAGGCTGAGTGTCAAAGCCACCTGGCACTGGTCCTGGGGATGGGAAGGCAGCTTGTAGGGCCACCGAGCCAGCTCTCCTCCCTTGGGGACAGGCATCCTTTCAAGGCTGTCCTGCTAGGATCTCATTCTCATGTCTATCTAAATAGCTCCCAAGTAGGAAATCCCAACTGTAGACTTAAAAAAAAAAAAAAAAAAAAAAAAAAAAAAAAGGAGGGCAGTGGGTGGTGTTGAGGGAAAAGCTACACACAACTGAAGAGGATCCTTAGGGAAGCCTGGTCCCAGTTCTCAGCACAAAGCTGGGACCCAGGACCCAGGGCTGCCCTCAAGGCAGGGTGAACTCACCATGCTTGTAACACAGCTGTCTGCCACTCAGAAACTTCAGATAGAAACAAACAAGGTGATAAAGAAGGCTAACCCATGCTTTGGAGTTTGCAGGAGTGGACACTCCCAAGCCTATCTGTGATGGAAAAGTGGGAAATGACATTGAGAGGGCTGGTCACTCCTGTTCCCCTGGGTCCCAGAGGAGGGACACCCACTCTTGAGCCCAACTCCTGACTAAGACAGACAGTCTAGGACAGGGACACAAGCTGGGCTTTCAGCCTGAGACAGAACCCTCTGCCCTCGATTGCCCATCGCTTGGCAATCACTTCCTATGGGCAAGTGCCAGGCCTAAGGGGGGCATCTTCAGGCTCCTGGCTGTACCAGCTGAGGTGAGTGTGTCCCTACCCTGGCCTCTGTTGCAGCCTGTTTGCTCCTAGGCTTCTGTCTCTTCCACTGAATGGCTCAGTGGGAACCTGGCAAGAGCTCCACATGTCATCTGTTTGTACCTCTAAGCCTGGAGGGACAAGACTGAGTGAAGTCCTGGTGCTGAGGGAAGATGGAGTTGGATCCAAGTCACAGCAGGTGCCTTTGGGTACAAATGCTCTGGGTTTAACAACAGCACAGGGGAGGGGTGGGCAGGAGCTGGGCTAGAGAGGGACAGAAGGATGCATGAGCATTTGGGGGTTGCTGCTAGTCTCCCTTTCTGCCTCTTTATCTCATTGGAGGTGGAGAGCCATGAGGAACAGAGGAGGAGTCAAGGAAGAGGTGAGTAACCTCCTGTGAGACCCTGCAGTTTGGTACCAGGTCTGCAGGGCTCCCAGTGGCACAAGAATTCTTGTGAATGGGAAACCAGATCCTAGGCCCTGCTGAGATAGACCAGTAAGTGTTTGCCTCACAAATTCCCCAGTGAAGAGGAGCCTCCCAGTCTCTGCTGGGAAGAGGTGTCAGTTTACCCTTGGCCCTGCTCCCAGAGGTGCTGTGCTCCAGAGGAGCAGGCAAAGCTGCAGAGGAACTGGCCAGACAGGACAGGGAGAAGTCTGGGGACAGTGAGGCAAGGTGTTTGGAAAGACAAGAGACCCAGGAATGAGTCACTAGACAGATGGCCCCATGGCACACAAGGCTCTTTCCTTAGCCACCCTATCTCTAGAGCAGTCTTCCAAATCACAGGCTGGACCTTGGCATCCAGGAAGAGAATTTGGTGGGGAACTCACTGGCCAAGGTCAGTGCTTTATCAGGAGATAGGTTCTGACACATAATGGAACTGGAGTTGTGGATGGTTGTGAGCTGCCAAAGTGGATCCTAGGATTGGAAGCTGGGTCCTTTGGAAGAGCAACAAGTGCTGTGTGCTGGCCGTTTTTGTGCCAACTTGAACACAAGTTAGAGTCATCAGCCTCAGTTGAGAGGCTACCAGGAAGTCCAGCTTTAAGGCATTTTCATTTAGTGATCAATGGGAGACGGACCTAGCCCATGGTGGTGGTGTCATCCCTGGGCTTATGGGTTCTATCAGAAAGCTTCTTTTTTTAAGGAACCGTCAGCACGTTGTTGTTGAAGTGTGGAGTTGTAACTCTGTGTGGACTGTGGACAATATATACTTAAATGTCACATTATTGCAAAATGGGTGTTTTATCCAGGTACTCATACACTATTTTTTTTGTACTGCTGGTATTGTACCAGAAACATTTTCTTTTATTGTTACTTGCTTTTTAAACTTTGTTTAGCCACTTAAAGAAAATCTGCTTATGACACAATTTGCCTCAAATCCATTCCAAGTTGTTTTCCAATAAAAAAATTACAATTTACCCCCCCCCCCCAAAAAAAAGAAAGCTAAGCAAGCTAAGGGAACAAGCCTGTAAGCACCTTTCATGGCCTCTGCATTAGCTCCTGCCTCCAGGTTCCTGCCCTGCTTGAGTTCCTGTCCCGACTTCCTTCAGTGATGAACAGCAATGTGGAAGTGAAAGCTGAATAAACCCCTTCCTCTCAAACTTGCTTTATGGTCATGGTGTTTCTTCACAGCAGTAGAAACCCTGACTAAGACATGCTCTTAACTGCTGAACTCCAACCCCTTGTTAGTTTGTGTGGGCACAGGGTCTTTTCCTGGCCAGAAACTCCAGTGAGTTCCAGGAGCCTGACTCCACCTTACTATGCTGGGATTACAAACACACTGGACCTGGCTCTTTCCATGGGTTCTGGGGGTCAAACTCAGGATTTATACTTGCAAGGCAACCAACCACTTTAATGATCAAGCAATCTCCCCATATATATATATATTCACACACACATATATATATTCATATATATATGAATATTTATATATAGATGTTGAAATATTTTGGGAACAGGAGCAAAGTCCAAACAGAAAATTAATTTGTTTCATATGTATATCCTATGAATAGTCTCAGTGTCATTGGGCTTAGTAATTTTAGAGTATCTGCCTGGTGACTGTGAACTGTTCCAGAAGGTCAGGTGTGAAACATTCTGCTTAAAGCCTCATCTGGGCGCTTAAAACACTGCAGACTTTGGACCACAGGTTTTCAGTCTGGGTGAGCAGCCTGTATGATGCTCCTTATTTAGAGGTGAGAAGACCCCAGCAGAGCACTGGGCCATGGGCTCATTCTAAGCACTACATAAAACCAGGTGTGGCAACACACACCTGCAGCCCCCAAACTCAGGAAGTGGAGGTGGGAACATCAGAGATCCAAGGCCATCCTCAGCTCTATAGGGAATTCTAGCACAGATAGGCTGCTTCAGGCCATGTCCCTTTTGGCTAAGGCCAGGCATGCTCAGTATGGGCAACGCAGGCAGGCAGGAGCCCAGAGCCTAGCTTTGACTAGGAATTTTT